AACTTTAAGACTTGTGGACTTCAACTCCCAGAATTCCTCAGCCAGCTTTGCTGGCTGAGGAATTCTGGGAGTTGAAGTCCACAAGTCTTAAAGTTGCCAAGGTTGGACACCCCTGTTCTAAACGGTGGCTTTACTCACAGTTACTCATGCCCTGCTCACCACTAGGATGCATTACTACAATGAGCTCTACGTGGGGCTGTCCTTGAAGAGTACAGAATGCTATTCCCCTTGAGATGAGTGTCATGTACAATGAGAGTCGTCTCTCCCGTTATCCTGAATTATTTTTTTCTGCTTTTACTTAATATTTTATGTGTTAGTTGTTTTTATGTATTATATGTAGTCCAGAATCACATTTGTATACATTTGTTAAACAAAGATATGCTATGATATAGAAACAATAGAAATTTACAAAGGTTTAATATTGTTCTTCTGTTACATAACTATTAAATCTAGCACCATCCTCTTATTTATTTTTTTTTGTAACAAATAATTCTGAAGAACATTAATGTGCAGAAATGCCAATAGCAAATGGATGCTACACAGAATAAGCTGCCATTTCAGCCATGTTCTTTATTAAATAAAGGTTGTTTTTAACATGCTCCAATGGCATGTTCGCATGCTTTTTTTTTCTGTAATAGTACAGTGAATTCTTTTTAATAGCCTCCATCAATCTGGACACTCTCCAGGTATATGGATTCCAGTTCCCGTAAATCTCAAGAGTGATTCTTGACTAATATATCTTTTCTTTTATGTATACTGAGTGTATTTGCACCAAGACAAATTCCTTGTGTGTCCCACCACACTTGGCCAATAAAGAATTCTATCTATTCTATTCTTCTATGGCCATGTGGCTAGGAATCATGGTGGTGAAATTCTCGATGTCTGGAGAGTGCCCTTGGAGAAATTTGTATTTACAATATTTTTTAACAAAAAAATGATTCTCAATTCATTTAAGTAGAGAAGGAAAAATTATAAATCACAGGCTTTGGTCTTACGTTCAGAATGTGAACTTCAATATCTACAAACATGAGTTTTGAACACAAGATTTTGGTTTTGAAATTTAAATTTTTGTACAGAACAAAAAAGTTTTAAAAGAAAAATGCCACACATTCCCTTTATATTTTTATTCTGGTACCGGCATCTTTCTCTTTAGAAGACAGAAAGACATTTGGAGTTATCACAATACAACCAAAGATTTCATAATCCTCTCTAAAACATGCAATACATGTTTTTATTCTTGAAATATGAGATGGCTATAGTACGTTTCATGTATTGTGAACTATAACTTGTAGCATCAATCACAGTTGCCAGTAGTGCCTGATGCTGCTGGGAAGATTAGTTTACAAATGAAAACAAATATGAGTCCCAGGATAATGTTGCAGAATCCAATCTGGGTCAGTGGAAAATGTGTCTCCCAATTTTACTAAACTAATCTTGCTGTCAACTCGTAAAGCATTCCTATGCCTGTTTTAGAGTTGCTATAAACAAGGGGGGTGCGGGGGAAGGAAATCTGAAGGAGCAGTGCGGCAGTTTAAAACCAGAAGACATTCCAACACTTATCTTACACAGTTTGTAGCTAAGCTACCGGATCTTCTGCCCACGAAAATCCTTAATTGGAGAACGTGATTGATGCCACCCGGCCCGGTGAACAGCTTCATTGGAGAATCTGATTTATGACACACCCGGGGGGGGGGAGGGGGGAAATAGGGTCACAGGTGACTGTAAATTATGTATGCCAGAGTTGGCTTCATACAGGTTAATGCCGGACATGTTGCTCCTAATAAATCTTTTGGTTTCTTTTGAAGCTTGCCTCGAAGCTCATGATTTAATTAGGGCAATCACAGGAATCCTAATACTTGCAGGATCCAATCCGGGTCGGTCAGTGGGACCAGAGATTTTAGTCTTCTGAGCTTTCGGACTTGTGCTAGAGCCCATCTTCAGGGAATTTCTTTCTCAACCCAGATTGGATCCTGCGAGATTAGTTTAGTAATATCTGGAGTCACATCTGCCATAAAAAGGTAGAAAAAGCTTACATTTCACTTTATTTTGGGTAAATGATGCTGAATCAGTACAACCAACACAAAACTTAATGCCAAATAATAATACAATTAGTGTTGTACTAGTTAAACTAAGAATAAGGAACCTGTGTAAAGAAACACCTATTAAATTCCCACTATCTCTGACTATTCATCATTTTAAGACTGGCAGAAGCTGCAAGATTTGGACAGGCCCAGGGTTTCTGTCTCCCATACTGGCCTTATTACCTTTGCAGGTTGAAAACATGAATCAAAGATCGAAGGATATGCTCACATGTTTAATTTAAGTTAAATTAATCTTTAGTGGTCCCTAACTTAATGCTCACTAATTTCTTAATTTAATGCAATTTAATGTAACAATGCTCACTAATCATACACCCAATTTACCTTTGGAATCCCAATGCAAAGATTCTTCATATCTATCAAGTTAGATAGCTGAAATGGACAAAAGGGATCTTGCACTGTGGTTGAATCTTTTGGGTCATGCCCGCCAAGAACACCTGAAAGAAATGGAATGGCACATGACATAACAGGAAAAAGAGAACTGCTAAACTAGACTTAACTTGGGACAAACGCCTAAGGAAACATATAATTGTTGTACCTAACACAGCAGCTGCATCATCAACACATCTGGTTAAAATGCCTGGGACATCCATTGAGTTCACAAGTGGGATGAGACCATAGCGGGAAATGAGGCCATAGCTGGGCTTTAGGCCGACAACTCCACAGAGGGAGGCTGGATTTCTTGTGGAACCTCCTGTATCAGATCCCAGAGCCCTGTAATTGAATTTAAAAAAAACTCATGGAAATCAGAAACAAATAAAAAACTGTATCCCATTAGACTCTCCTTTTATATCTGTTATCTGAAAGCCATTTTTGAATGAATGAATACACATGTAATTATATTTCCTTCCAGTTAACTCTTGAGAATTTCATTGAGTTTTCTCAACAATAATACAAACACAGGTGCTTTACCATTACCTTCTGGTATTTTATTTTTTATTTTCACCCTATCCTGATGCTCTGAAATTTACTGATGGCCTTCTATCCACGAATTAAGTATGTCTGATCTGACAAGACTGACCTGATATTGTCATCTGCTGAGCAGAAACAGACAAGCTAGAGTTAAAATGTGTGTGACCAACCTGTAATTTTGCACTGGACCATTCACCTTTCAGCTCTTAGAAGAGGCATGTTTGCATTCCATTTTATATTTAATTCCATTATAATTTGGAAAGAACTTGAAATGGTACTTAGCCCTGCTGCAAGTAGTCCTCGACTTATGACCCCCATTGAGCCCAATATTTCTGTTGTTAAGCGAAACACCTGTTAAGTGAGTTTGGCCCATTTTACGACCTTTCTTGCCGCAGTTACGGTAAGTGCACTTAAAAGTAAGAGAAGCACTGTAGCTGTTAAATTAGTCAAACTGTTGCTCACTAAATCTGGCTTCCCCATTGATTTTGCTTGTCAGAAGTTCTCAAAAGTGACCCCGGGATACTGCAAGCATCATAAATACCGGTATGAGTCAATTACCAAGCATCTGAATTTTGATCACATGATCATAGGGATGCTATAATGGTCGTAAGTCTAGAAACTGGTCGTAAGTCGCTTTTTTTCAGTGCCGTTGTTAACTTTGAACAGTCACTCAACAAGCTGTTCTAAGCCGAGGTCTACTTGTATTACCATGTTCGAAAGTCAAGGTTGTGAGATCCTCTTACGCAAAGCATGTGAAAGAGGACACCGCGGCAGCACTGCCGCCAGAGCTCCCTCCAGTTATCAGCCAGCCGGTATCGTCGTGTTGAGCAAGGGAGGTTGGTGCACATTTTTCTCTGTACTGCCTTGAATAACTCCAGGGGTTCCGCACTGGCCCAAATGCCCCATCTGTACTTCCAGACCTAGGATGAGCAAGTTGAAAAGGAAATTTTAAGAATTGTGAATTATTAAGCAGGCTATTTTTTATTTTATTTTTTTTGGCCTTTCAAGAATTTAATTCAACTTACCCCATGGCAAATTCGTCTAGATTTGTTTTTCCAAGCAGTACAGCTCCTTGATCCAGCAATTTTTGAACTACTGTCGCATTGTATGGTGGGATATAACCTGAAAAAAAAAGGTAAATATTGGATTGGGTAAGGATTCTATCTTGTAACAATTGAGAGTGTTTTACCATTGCAAATATATTTTATTCATCCGATATATCTGATTGATTTTTGAGTCTTCATTCGAAAAAGGCAGTGCATAATAGGAATAGCACTTAGGCTTATATACTGCTTCACAGTGCTTTTACAGACATCTCTAAGCCGTTTACAGAGTCAGCATATCGCCGCCCCCCCAACACTCTGGGTCTTCATTTTACTAACTTCGGAAGGATGGAAGTCTGAATCAGCCTTGAGCACTGTCAGGATCAACGGAATCCAACTCCTGGCAATGTGAGTCAGAGTTACCCCGCAGTACTGCATTCTAACCAGAAGTGGTATTCAGCAGGTTCTGACCAGTTCTGGAGAACTGGTAGCAGAAATTTTGAGTGGTTCTGAGAACCAGCAAATATCATCTCTGACTGGCCCCACCCCCATCTATTCTCTGCCTCCCGAGTCCCAGGTGATTGGCTGGGTCTTCTTTTGTTGCCCTGCACAGGAGAATGGAGCTGGAAAGTAGGTTAGTGGGGTGGGGAGGGAATGGGATTTTGCAGTAACATTCTCCTGCCACGCCCATAGAACCAGTAGTAAAAAAATTTGAATACCACCACTGATTCAAAGCGCTATATGGTATGTGATATATGTGATATATGATATACAATATATGATATATGATATACTATTATGATACACTGTCGCGAGGGAAGTTCAAACTATAAAATCAATGCCGCACTTTGGACTGCATCCACATCACATGAGCAAATTTCTGCTTTTTACAATGCAACTTTTCTTTCCTCTTCCTGCAAAATACAGATGGGATGAGGCTTCAAAAAGGAATCCAGTTCTGCTGGTGGAGCTATTCCATAGGCAGAAAAATAACACTGGATTTCAATTGAAATTTACAAGTTATGTAGTTACAACAACGTAACTATGTACATCAAAAATTTGTCTGGAACAAAAAAAAGTATAATATAAAAAGTGTCACCTTGCAATGAGATGGGCAACAAATTTATTAAATCAATAATGCAGAAATCAATCATTCCAAGCAGACTCCACAAATAAGAAACATGGCTCAGTCTTACAGCATGTGATTTGCAAGACTTCAGTTTCAATCTGTTATTTGAGACAGGGATAGAAAAATTTGTCTCTGAAGCAGAGAGAAATTCTGCCACTGAACATGCTTAAAACTTGGTTATATGAACCCTTGATCTGCTTCAATGGTAGGCAGCTATCTATGGTCCCATGATTCTACATAAAAAATTGTTTTTAATCCTGTTGTTGCCTTGCCCATAGCATCAGGAAATCAGCAATTTCATCCTTGAATTAGATGGTACTGGGAACTAATTGCTTGGTTTCCTGCTATTAATGACAGAACTCCATTTCCTGCTCACTTACTGACCACACAGATCAGTTGAAGACTAAAAAATTAGTCTGTCTCAAAACCGCAAGACCTGAATTCTGCGGCCAAATAACAACTGCATTTTTCTTATGAATTGTATTGGATTTTCTCCCTACCTTTCTCCATTACTTTTTTATTCAACGTTTTATAGGAAAATATTATTTTGAATTTGATAAACCTATGACAAAACTCTGGCATTGCTATCAAAATGATCAAAGGCTTCACAATTAAAGCCCTTAGATTAATGTGAGACAATTAAGACACTAAGAATCAGAGCTCTAAAGTGTGGACTTGTGTTTTTTTTAAATCAAGTTTACCTTTTAACATCTTGGATGCACATGTTGTTTCAATGCCAGCAGTGCTGAAGTTGTCTTTCACAGCAACAGGAATACCATCTAAATCACCCAATGGCTGACCTTCATTATGAAGAATACAAGGATAATTAAACCAGTGTTTTGTCAGAGTTATTTGAGAGTATATTGCTGGTAATAGTAAATAAAGATTTTTAAAATACAATATGAACTCTACAATACAATACAGGTAGACCTCAACTTACAACTGTAACTAAGTCCAGAAATATGGTTGAAAGCATGGCGATCATTAAGCAGATCATCCATTACGTCTGGCTTTACAAATCTTTCGCAGTGGTTGTTAGAAGAACACATTGGTTGTTAAGCAAACCCACTGCACCCTATGGGTGTTTGAAACTGTAAGTTAATGCTGGTTTACAGCAAAAAAAGTAATAAATTTGATCATATGCTTACAGGATGCTGTAAATAGCTGTAAATGGGGGCCGGTTGCCAAGTGTAACATATGATCACATGATGGCATGGTGTGTGTGTGTGTGTACGTGTGTGCATGCATGTGCATGTGCTGCCATTGGAACTTTGAAACTGGGTTGTAAGTAGCCTTGGAGAGATCCACTGCAACTTTGAATAGTCACTAAGTGATCGGTTGTAAGTGAGGGATTACCTGTATGCACAATATGCAGAACTAAGCCATAATGGCTTGATTCATACAACACAATAAGCCATATTCTTTGGGTCTGTATGTCATGCTAAACAGAAACAAAACATGTTATGGCTTATTGTGAGAACTAAGTCTTCAACTCTACGTAAAGGGAAGTGTATATTATTGGAATTCCATATTGACACATAGGTTCAATAATAAATTATCTCTCTCAGATAAAGGAATATCTATGAAAAAACATCTGATCTAAAAACTACCTGCTCTCATATATTAAGTTCTTCCTGTGGATCATGACAACATCTAAACCAGCAAATATTTGTGGGCCATTTACAAGCTCTGAGAAACCCAGAGGAAAATAATGTTACTTTAAACAGAACCTCCATAGACAGTTACTTTAAACAAAGAAGTAATATTTTTCTGTGGTATAAATAAAATAACTTAGTGATATATTTCTTATGATAATTAATTAATTAATTCTCTTGAGGAAACAATAGTAGGCTCAGAGGCTAACAATTTTAGGAGAGAGCAACTGTTTAGTAGTAGTATCCTACCTTGTCTGTATCTCTCCTCTGATGCCTGAGCTTGTTTTAATGCTGTGTCTTCTGTTACTGTTATGTAAGCATTAAGAAATTTGGTAGTTTTTATTAACGAGAGACATTTCTGACAAAGTTCAGTTGAGCTGACATGGCCTTTCTTTAATGCTGCAGAAATCTGAAATGACAATGAAAAAAAGGAAAAAAATACATGTACTGTAGTAGTTATACAGTACTTATATCTAACTTACGATGATTAAAATACACTAAATAATACAAAGAGAAAGAAATGAAAAATTAAAGGAAAAAAGAGATAATATAATATAATAATAGCCATTTAGTATTCATAGAGAATTAACTTATTTTAGGTAACAAATTTGTATTGTGAATCAATTCCATAGTACCAGCAGGATAAATTTCTATTTATGTAAGATTATTCTTTTTCACTGAGCCTCAAGGTCAGTAGAACCAAAACTCTTAAAAAAATATATTTTAGAAATAAAGTTTAGCATCACATCTTTAACGACATTTCTTTCTAAGATTGCATTAACATGTCCTATAACTGAAACCAACACAAATGATAAGACAAGAGGAGATCATATGAAGAACTCTCAAATTTCTTACAGTGCTAGCCAAAAAATGAAATTCAACCCCTTTTAAGTACTCTTTGGGGAGTTCTAAAGACACAAGGCATTTTCTGATGAATTAATTTCTATCAGTTCCCTCCAGGTAAACACAACCAGATGAGCTAATTCTACTTCATTATTATTTTATTTACATTAACAAAAACTGCAAATTTGAAAGCACAGATGTCCTGCAGAAGATTATTAATTGCCTGATCCATTAAGGCAGGTCTTTTCTAAATTTCTTTCTCTGACTATTTATGCAACTTAGATCTCCTCTTCTTGTCTGATAATTTTTAGGCAGCATCTCTTAGTCCCTCATTCTCACATACTGTTACAGTTTCAACCTTAAATCACAAGTTCTCTGTATGTGTGTGTGTGTGTGTGTGTGTGTGTGTTTGTGTGTGTGTGTGTATTTGCCGAGGCAATAGGAATAAGAGATCCACAAATAAATGCATTCCAGAATATTAACATAATCATAGAATCCCTATGGTTATTTATGTAGAAATGAATGAATTTTTGATATATTCTGCAAAAGAAGGCTTTCCTTACAAGAGAGGTATTCAAACACCACCTGGATTGTTCTATATTAGATTTTTTAATTTCTCCTGCTTTTGGTGAATCACGTCCCCACTGCTATCTTAGACTATGCTCCATTTTTAAGTACAACTACTAATAAATCTTCTCATATCATCACGACGTGGCAGTATCAGGTAACCAAATACAGTGTGTAATCCCTTGCAACCTCCCAGTTTTGTACATATGTAGTTGTCTGTTTGCAAACATGAATATTATATTATCACATTGAAAAAGGCATAATAATATACCTACAAATGAAACATTAATTTATGCTGTTAGTTTATGTATAATATGCCATATGCTAAACAAATAACCTACAGATAGCATAATCCTGTTCGTGAAGGACCTCATTGTGTTCACTGGGGGCTACTTTTTTTTTTTTTAATAAAGTTTTATTTGGGTTTTCACACATACAAAATACAAGTAAAACATCATGCTCATTTTTGTGTTCTATTCCATATCTTTTACTATTCTACATTTTCTATATAGTTTTTCCCCTCTTTTAATTTTCTCAATTTTATTTTGATTATCTCACCTCAATTCAAATCATTATATTTATACTTTTGTCTGTTCTGTTTCAATTTCATATTATCTTTTCTCATTAAACAAATTTTCTCCTGTAGTTACTAATTGGAGTATGACACCTTTATATCTTTTAATTACATCCATTCAACTCTTATTTAAACTTCAATATATACCTTAAGGTTATGACCTTCAATATAATACATAATACATAACTTCGAATTCTGCTTGGTACATTCTTATAATACACACTATATTCTTTAAAAAAAAGGATTATAAATATATGTAATTATAAACCCTCATTCCATTCCAATTCAGTTCTATCATTAATAATCATTAAAATCTTAATATCTTTAACATTTCTTTTCAATTAAATATCATACTTCCTTAAAGACACATATAATCTCCATAATTAATTTTTCCCTTATTTCTCTTCACATGTTTTGTAAATCATTAAATATTCATTTTGTTACATTTATTTATTGACAAGCATTCCACTGAGTTACGATAGCTATTTTATCAAACATTTTAATCATACATTATTTCATATTTTCTGAAATTATTTCTATTTCTAATATAACAATGCTATCTTATGTACCTTTGCAGAATCGCTTTTTCTATTAAATTTTCACCCATTATCTCTAAATAGGCCCTGTTTCTCTATATTTTGTTTCTCCTTTATAACTTCTTTTCCTTTCTTTCTTCCCTCTCATCTTCTCCCTCCCCTTTTTACCCCCTTGTCTCTCTACTTTTAATTCTCTCTTCTGCATTTCCCTCTTCTGTTGCTTTCTGATTTTATACTTATTTTTCACTCTATTTTTTTTTTTGGAGTTGTTTTTCCCAATCTTAAATTTTCCATTCTCTTTCCCCCTTTCCTTCCCCCCCCACCTAAGATTAATTGTTAATTAAAGATGGCTTCTTCTTTGTCGCAATCTTCTTGTTCTGCAGGAATTTCTTGTTGTTTCTCATAGTTCCAAATCTCCATTTCTAAGAACTGAAATATGAAGCCAAAAGAACTTGTGCATCTTCTTTGTACTTTTTAAGTTCCATTTTCAGTTCTTCTAAAATTGGAGCCATTTTAAACAGTTTTAAACAACCACCTGATTGATTTTAGTCATTCAAATACAATAACCAAGAATCCAGAGATCACCAAGTAATCCAAATAGTCCCAAGCTGTTTCTTCTTATTTCTTTTTCCACTTTCTCTTCCTGGGGTTTTACTATTTTGTTGCGATGTTTCAGTTAAGATGTATCTTTTGGAAGTCTTGTTGAGATTTTGCTGTAAGTTCTTTTTAATTCCAGGCAGTCTCCTCCCTTCCAGATTCTGCCCTTTTATTCTTTTTCTCTCCTTTCCTGTTTTCAAAAGCTTTTAATTATCCAGAAATCTTTATTATCCCTTTTACTTTTTATTTTCAGCATTAAATGCCTATTAATGTCAAAGTGGATTTTTTTTCCAATTTCTTGCTTAAGTCTCTTAGCTGTCAGTATAGGAAAAGGAGAAAAAAAACACCCAAATCTTTTCCCTTTTCTCTCTCCTTCGCAGCTTAAAAATCTTCTTAGGGAACAATGTTATTGTTTTTTTTTTAAGTTTCAATTCCAGGGTACCTTATTTGTTGCTTTTGCTGTTTGACCCGGTCAACCAAAACTTTCTCCTCTTATCTTCCTCCTGCACATTCTTTTCCTGTCGAGTTCTTTGTGGTGGCCATTTCTGACCACCGCTACAACTGCCTTCGGGAAAGGGATTAATGGCCAGCTGGGGAGGAGAGATGCAGCTCTCCTCAACCCTGCTGGCAGTCTCCCCCCTCTTCACCACCTCTACGGGGTGGCTTAGCCCCGAAACCAGCCGGCTAGGGGTGCTCCAGCAGCGAGCATGGATCGAAACCACGCAGAGACGCGGTTTCTGTCTGTCGCCGAAGAAGCTCAAACCGGAAGACTGGGGGCTACTTTTATATAAACTGTATGGGTTATATTATGTAAATATAAATAGTTTATTTTGTATGGATTTAGTGAGAAACTAAAGTATTTGTATCATGCTGAGCATAAGTAACTATTTGAGTTTCTCTCTCTCTCTCTCTGTGTGTGTACTACTGACATTCATGGTTTCTTTTTACACTACCAAGATTGCAGCTTGCCCTGCAAAAGTCCGGACGAACTACTATCTGAACTTTCCATATCCCTTTACTGTCATCTACTGGTCATCTGGATTTCTTCTACCACCCACATCCGTTATCTTACCCTTACTACAACAGCAACCTAAAAAATAATAATCATAGAAATGCAGTACCCTCCATGCAATCCTGAAAGTCCTGAATTTGGATTTCTACCCTTTGTATGCCAAGTATACTTGGAACATCAAGCGTCTCCCCCAAATGCAGCAGAACCCAGTTCTAGAGACAGAAATAACTTCCGGAACAGCCAAATAACAACAACAACCGACGCACCTCTCGGAGCGAGGAGCGCAGCATCTTTCCCGGCATCCCGGGATGGAAGATTCCGAGAGACCAGCAGACCTTCCTTCGCTGTACGAACTTCTGTTATTGATACTGCAGGAAGGCACCTATGGGGGCATCCATCTTGGTAAGCATTTCTAACATTGAGATCGCTGATTGGTTTAGCGCTCACAGCATCAAAGCATGCTTGGTTTGTATTGGTCCAGGCTCCGGAGCCTGTCAATCGGTGCCCGTTTGAGTGCATGGGATTTGGGTGACCGGGGTTGTCAAGCGCTGATCTGCACGAGATTTGAGATTAAGACGGGTATATCTTTGCACGAGTTGAAAAGTCATAGGAAGAACGTTGTGGAAGGGTGGAGAGAAATATTATAATATTTGGCGGCGGAAGAGATTAGTTTCAATTGCCTTGAGGACTTGGTGCATTCTGGAATTGGGAAGAGAGAGAAAATAGTTTTACTTCCTGTGAACTTTAGCATTCTTTTGCTCATCAGCCTGGAGGATCAATGAAAGCTATTTCTGTCTTTTCTCCTCCACGGTTTTTTTCCTTGTCTTGTGAGAAAAGAGAAACAATAGGGGAGGAGGCATATTTTTCAAAAATTGTAAAGGAACAAAATGGTAATTTTAAGATAAGGATTAACGTTTTCCTAATTTATTAGAAGCGTTTTTCAAAGCAGATCAAAAGAGGCTTAACATTTCTGTTGTCTTTTGCAATCATGTTGCTAAGGGGACACACACTTAGAAGCAAAGTATGTTCTAAATTGTTGGGCTGTCTTAGCTTGTCTGCATTGAGGCAGAGTTTGAGTCTACGGCCGCTGAGTAGAAAGTTCCACGTTTCCTGTCAAAGATGCTCAACAATGCCTTCCTGGGTGATTGACCGCTATGGGAAAAATGATGTACTTCGATTCACAAGTAATATGACATTTCCTGCAATTCGTCTCCCTAATGAAGTTATTATTAAAGTTCACGCTGCAAGTTTAAATCCCATAGATGTTAACATGCGAAGTAAGTAGAGGTTATGCATTGCATATTATAGATATAGATGATGGATGGATAGATAGATGATAGATAGATACATAGATATGAACATCAGTGAACTAATTGTAAAAGTACTCTGAACTCACAAAAATAAATCTTATGGATGATTTCTGTACTTTTATTTCAGTACTGATGGAGTATGGTGTTAATTATCTTTTTTTAAAAAACAATCTCTAAGGTACAGTGGAACATTGCAGTATGCATGTAACTGCTCTAATAACCAGTTTTATGCTGGATGTTTCTATTTTATTATTAATGTCATATGAATTTGTCTAGTAGAAAAAAAGTTCTAGAAAAGCTGATGAACACAGAATTCTCTTGTCATCTTAAGCAAGAACTACCAGATTGGAGTTGTAAAAAAATTGAAACAAGTACTGGGTGGCAGCAAATCAAAATGTCTATATTTCTTAGCAGCCTTCTACTGGCTGCTAAATTTTTGCAGCCAAGATACAATAGTGTCTTAGAGATTTTCATAAATAGACTGTGCCTTGAGCTTCTTTAGAGTTAAGTCTCTTAAATCTGTTGAAACCAGTGGCATAATATTATTTACAAAGTGAATATTGTTGGAAACTTATTAATTTTCATGGAATGCAAGTGACATTTAATAGAATAGGCTTAGATTCTTGCACTGTAACCTTAACTGAGTCTGCTTAAACATTTTCATTAACTTAATTTTGTCTTAATCCAGTCTAAATGAGCATAGAATTATCTCCATTGACACCTGCTCTTTGACTTTACTCATTCCTTTTTCTGTTTCATTTTACCACTTACAAGGAAGTGTGACCTCATTTTCTCTTTCAGTCAGATCATCCTATTAGGAAATGCTGAGCCTTGCTGGGAAGATTCCCCTTCGTTTTTCACATTGGCTTATGATATTTAAGAGTAAATTTAAAAGTGGAAAATGTGCAGTAGGAAGCACCAGCGAACATAATAGTTTTATTGTTATCTTATATTAACCAGACTCCTGTTTATATGTACACAATTTAAAACTTCAGTATATACTAAATTGAATTCAGACAAATCTGACTTTTATGTTGCTCTGGGATGCTCTGGCAATCCTCTGGGACATGCTGATGGGGTTGCAGTTTTAAAGAAACAAATAAATACACTTTTTCTTGTTTAAAATAGCCAAATTGGATACCGGATTATATGTATTTATACTGTGGCTGAGACTCTAAGCCCATCTCAGTCTCAGTTTTCAGTCTGTAAAATGGGAATCCTCAGTTTGGAATGAATAAAGTAAGGAATAGTGCAAGCAAATAGTGAAGAAAAGAAGTATATAAATCTAAATAAAGGCACGACAAATTGACTCCTGTTTTTCCATTTCTTTTAATAGATGGCTATGGAGCTTCTGCTCTAAGAGTGAAACGAGATCCGTTGCACATATCAGGAAAAGGCAACGAATTTCCTCTAATTCTAGGTCGAGATGTTTCTGGGGTTGTTATGGAATGTGGACCGAGTGTTTCCTACTTCAAACCTGGAGATGAGGTAATGGAAGATTGAAATAGAATCCTAGAATGGAAAAGAACCTAATCCATCTTCCTGTTTTATGCAGGAATTTTCAAACCACCGTGGCAGATTATTTAGCTCCCATTTGAAAACCTCCAGTGAGGGGAATCGACCACTCTAATAGGCAGATTGTTTCACTTCTTCACTCTTCTCATTAACATCTCATTAAGATGTTCCTCTTAATACTCAACCAGAATCGCTTTAATTTCAGCCCATTGTTCCTTGTTTTGCATATGGTTTCAACAAAAATCAGATCTGATCGCTCCTGTATGTAATAGCCATAGCCATAGACTGTTATACATGTACTTCTTGATTTAACCGCCATTTGTTTAGCGACTGTTCATAGTTTTTAAAAAAACTGAAAAAAGTGCCATATGTTTTTCCACGACCGTTGCAGCATCCCCATGGTCACATGATCAGAATTCAAATGCTTGGCAACTGGCATGTATTAATGATGGTTGCAGGGTCCTGGGGTCATGTGATCACCTTTCACAACCTTCTAACAAGCAAAATCAACAGGGAAGCCAGATTCACTTAACAACTGTGTTGCTAAGTTAACAACTGCAGTGATTCATTTAACAACTGTGGCAAGAAAGGTCGCAAAATGGGGCAAAATTCATTTAACAACTGTCCTGCTTAGCAATAGAAATTTTGGGCTCAGTTGTGGTCATAGGTTGAGGACTACCTGTAATATTTTCCTTGTGTCTCTTTAGAAAACTAAGAATGTTAAGTTCTTTTAATTGTTCCTTTTAAGGTTTGGTTTCCAGGCCCTTTTTTTGTCCGGATAACTTTGTTCTGTTATTAAAACCTGTTAAAAATCCTTGTTAAAGCATGAGGCCCAGGATTGGACATAGCTTTCCATGTATGATTCAACGTGCAGAGTACAGTGGCAGATAGGAAAGCACTCCAGAGGGTTAATGTCATTGCCCAGAAGATCACTGGTTGCCCTCTCCCCTCTTTGGAAGAGCTTTATAGCTCCCGCTGCCTTAAGAAAGTTCAAAACATTCTCAAAGATCCATCTCATCCCTTTTTTTTAACTATTACCATCTGGCAGATGGTACAGAATAATAAAAAACAAGGACAAACAGGCTGAAAAACAGCTTCTATCCCAGGGCAGTAGCTCTTTTGAATTCTGCTATATAGTGCAGTGTTGGTGTGGTGTTGGGGGTTTCCGGTTAAATGTGTAGAGGGTGAAGGATGTGTGTTTGTGTTTATTTTCATGGTCATGGTCATGATGTGCACTGAAGATGGTTTTTGATTTCGTTGTACGAGGTGCAATGACACTAAACTAAACCTAAACTAAACTAAACTAAACTAAACTAAACTAAACTAAACTAAACTAAACTAAACTAAACTAAACTAAACTACAGTGAGACTATTACCTCCTGTACAGGAGTCTGGATTCTATCATTGTGTTAATGCATTTGAAGTTTGCACTTTACCTTTTTAGCTGCTGCATCATGCTGCTTCTTTAAATTCACCTGGCATATATTAGCACTTTTAGAATTTTTTCACACAAGAAAATTCCTCAGCCCTGGCTAATAAAACCAAACCAAGAAAAATCATTAGTATTTTGAATGGGTTTATAAATCATTAGCATAGAAACCAATGACTTCAACAGAGATGCTTCATTTAAGATTGTAAGTGGGAGTATTTTTCTCTTTTACTGTTATTTTATGGGAATAACAAACTTGCTTAAAGGTTTTCCACAATGGAATGAGTTGGACATTCTGTGTGTAATACACTACCATGCAGGAGTATGAATTTTAACTATCTGCTTGCTTTAGATATAGCACCTTCTGCAGGGTAAAAAATTTGTTATTTTGTACAAACAAAATATTTCAGATTGTTTATTTTTCAGGTATGGGCAGCAATTCCACCTTGGAAACAAGGTACCTTGTCAGAATTTGTTCTAGCAAGTGGAAATGAGGTAAGTCAACAAAATTTTATTTTAAAATGACGTAAACATATGCACAAATGCAATTTTTTTTTAAGTTGTAATTTTTAAAAATGGCAACACACTTCAATATGTATACCCCCTCAAAGTGCTTTACAGCCCTCTCTAAGTGGTTAACAGAGTCAGCATATTGTCCCCAACAATCTGGGTCCTAATTTTACTGACCTCGGAAGGTTAGAAGTCTGAGTCAACCTCGAGCCCCTTCAGGATTGAACTCCAGACTGTGGGCAGAGTTTGCCTGCAATACTTCAGTCTAACCACTGCACCTAAAATGTGATGTTATTTCTATATTTGCCCTTCAAATGGTGGCTAAAAACCCTCTGAAGTTAAAATATTAAAACAACATAGAATCTCCACTCCGATCTACATAGTATTATAAGCATTTCCCTCTTTTCCATTTGGCCTTGGAAAAGAGAGCGGAAAGGAGGAATCCGACTGGCTGCTGCAAAAGCACAGTGCTTTATTTGTTCATCTGGCAAAACAAAACTCTGCAGAAAACAGAAGGAGAATTTGCATTCTCTTGCCTGCCTTTATGATAGAATCAGAAGTTTTTCTAGCAGTGCCGTTCATCAGAGTAGGTTACGGAAAAGACCTGTCACTCACTGCCAAGTCTTACTTTCCATAGGTGAGCTACAGTACAGTTAGTCCTTGACTTAACAACAGTTCCTTTAGTGACTGTTCAAAATTACACTGGCACTGAAAAAAGTGACTTATGGCTGTTGTTCACACTTACAAATGTTGCGGCATCCCCATGGTCACGTGATCAAAATTCAGATGCTTGGCAACTGGCATGTATTTATGTCCCGGGGGTCATACGATCACCTTTGGTGACCTTCTGACAAGCAAAGTCAATGGGAAAGCTGGACTCACTTAACAACTGTGTTATTAACTTAAAATTTTATTTATTTATTTATTTATTTTACATTGCTGCCTATTTGCCCATGGCGACTCAAGGCTGCTTACACAATGTAAAACCATGTTTAAAATAAAACTAAAACTAAAAACAATAAAAACTAACAAAAAGAATCTAATAAATTAGTAAAGTACAATAGAACAAAATTTGGGAAAGCAAAAAACAAAATTAAAATTGCAATAATTCACCGAACAACTGTGTCAAGAAAGGTTGAAAAGTGGGACAAAATTCACTTAACAAATGTCTCACTTACCAACAGATACTTTGAGTTCCATTGAGGTTGTAAGTCAAGGAGTACCTGTGCTATCTAAAGCAGAGGTGTCAAACTGGCCGCCTGCAGGATGAGTCATGCACAGGCCACACCCACCCCAGCTCCGTGAATGGGGAAAACGTCGCGAAACATGCTGCGAGTTGGACACCCGTGATCTAAAGGGTGGCTGTTCATTTTGTGAAATTGATTATCCCGAGGTGTCTTTCCAAATACAACATTTTCCAACTGCTTCAAACTGAATAGATACCTGATAGAGATACGTGTATGAATTTGACAATTGTATGGACACTTGCTATTTTGGGGGGTGGGGGGTTAGATCTGCATTGAAGGAAAATGTTTTGATTGAGAGAACCCAGGACAATGTCTCCATGAGTTTATTTTTATGCAGATATCAAGGAAACCGAAGTGTCTCACTCACACTGAAGCTGCGTCCTTGCCTTATGTTGGTCTAACCACATGGTTTGCCGTGTCCAATGCTGGGGGACTTGATGCAGATAGTTGTCTCGACAAAAGGTAAAAAGCCAGATGATCTGCAAGAAGTTAGTCATGGGCTTTCTCGTTCCAAAGTAAGTCCCTAACTTTCCTTTGGATGCCTGTGAGTATGAATATTACCTTCCTGATTCAATTTTAGCATCTCTTAAAGAGTAATAGATTTCATGCCTTTCAGCTTTTGTAAAATAATACTTCTTTGAACATAACTAATTTAAATATCTTACATCAGGCACAGGAATATGTCACAGATAAGTTCAAAAAATCATTCTTCATCTGTATAATTTTCTCAACATTGCTTGATTTTATCCTTCATGCCAATATTAACCAAGTGTAACCAATTTTCATATTTTATTCTCATAATATTTTACTATGTTATTACCTTTATTGTCAGAGTACAACGTGTATACAATGAGATTGGCTGAGCCTCCCTTCGTGCACCCCCCACCCCAACACAACTCACAGTGAGGACAGAAGTCCCTAACCCAGTCCCAATCTTATTACACTATGTGACCTTGTTGCACAACGCACCAGCCCCGCAAGTCTATCATACTATGTTGACATGAAGTTATTTTTCATTCAGAAGTCTGACAGCCCACGGGTAGAAACTGTTCTTCAGCCTGTTGGTGCGGCTGGCTATGCTTCTATATCTCCTACCTAATGGTAGGAGAGTGAAGAAGTGCTGACCGGGATGTGAGTCATCCTTGAGGATTTTCCTCACTCTTCTAAGGCAGGGAAACCTAGTGATGTCATCTAGTGGTATCAGGGAACAGCCTACAATGTTTTGTGCTGTGCTCACCATACTCTGTAATGTCTTTCTATCTTATTTCTATCTTATGTTGATATCTTATTATACAGTACATTTAAATATTACTGTCCTGTGCTTTAAACTTGCAATATTTTAAATGTGAAGGTTACCTGAAATGTAGGTTTCTCTTCATTTATAGTTTCTTAACGCTGCACTACGTAAATTGAATTCCTTAAATACAGCTTGCACAGTAGGCACTTTTATCAGTTTACTCCTTTTGATCACTAGATATAAAACTACACAGAAGTTAATACTTTCATTATTTGTAATTGTTTTTACTTCATAGAATATTGATCATAGGTGCATCAGGTGGAGTGGGTACCTTTGCTATACAGGTAAGTATGTTAAATCGAATCATCTTGGCAGACGTTTTGCTTCTGTTTTGCTTCTGTTTCTTGAAAGAATCCTAGAATAGAGTCTTTTGGAATTGTATAAATATAATTCATTACTTTATCTTCATATTTAGAATAGTGACTACAATAAAGAATATTGTCACTTAGAATAGAATAGAATACTTTATTGGCCAAGTGTGACTGGACACACAAGGAATTTGTCTTGGTGTAAATACTCTCAGTATACATAAAGAAAAGGTACATTCATTAAGAATCAAGAATCATAACGTACAACACTTAATGATAGTCATAGGGTACAATCAACAATCAAATCATACTAGGAAACAGTCAATATAAATCATACGGATACAAGCAACAAAGTTACAGTCCTACAATCACAAGTGGGAGGGGATGGGTGATAAGGAGTGATGAGAAGATTAACAGTAATAGTAGTGTACACTTTGTAAATAGTTGAATAGTGTTGAGGGAATTATTTGTTTAGCAGAGTGATGGCTTTTGGGAAAAAATTGTTCTTGTGTCTAGTTGTTCTGGTGTGCAGTGCTCTATAGCGTCGTTTTGAGGGAAGGAGTTGAAACAGTTTATGTCCAGGATGTGAGGGGTCTGTAAATATTTTCACAGCCCTCTTTTTGACTCATGCAGTATACAGGTCCTCAATTGAAGGCAGGTGGGTAAAAGTTGTTTTTTCTGCAGTCCTAATTATCCTCTGAAGTCTGTGTCTGTCCTGTTGGGTTGCAGAACCAATCCAGACAGTTATAGAGGTGCAGATGATAGACTGAATGATTCCTCTGTAGAACTGTATCAGCAGCTCCTTGGGCAGTTTGAGCTTTCTGAGTTGGTACAGAAAGAACATTCTTTGTTGTGCTTTTTTGATGATGTTTTTGATGTTAGGTGTCCATTTTAGGTCATGTGATATAGTAGAACCTAGAAATTTGAAGGTCTCTACTGTTGATACTGTGTTGTCTAGTATTGTAAGAGGTGGTAGTATGGGAGGGTTTCTTCTAAAGTCTACCATCATTTCTACGGTTTTGAGTGTGTTCAGTTCCAGATTGTTCCGATTACACCACGAGGCAAATTGTATAACCTCCTGTCTGTATGCAGATTCATCATCTCGAATGAGACCAATCACTGTTGTGTCAACAGCAAACTTCAGTAATTTAACAGATGGATCGTTTGAGATGCAGTCATTGGTATATAGGGAGAAGAGAAGTGGAGATAGCACACAGCCTTGGGGGGCCCCTGTGCTGATTGTACAGGTATCGGATGTGATTCCTCCTAGTTTCACCTGCTGCTTCCTGTCTGTTAGGAAGCTTATGATCCACTTACAAGTGTGTTCAGGTACCGCTAGTTGGTTTAATTTACTTAGAAGAGTGTCTGGAATGATGGTATTGAATGCTGAACTGAAGTCTACAAAGAGGACCCTTGCGTAGGTATTTGGAGATTCAAGGTGTTGTAGGATGTAATGCAGAGCCATGTTAACAGCATCATCTGTCGATCTATTTGCTCGGTATGCAAACTGCATGGGATCTAACAGCGGATCCGTGATGGTTTTCAGGTGGGACAGCACAAGCCTTTCAAATATTTTCATAACTACAGATGTTAGAGCAACTGGTCTGTAGTCATTCAGTTCCTTGATGGAGGTCTTCTTTGGCACGGATGATGGTAGAACGTTTGAAGCAGGAAGGAACATAGCACATCTCTAGTGATCTATTGAAGATTCGGGTGAAGATGGGGGCCAATTGGTTAGCACAGACTTTTAAGCAAGAAGGAGTTATCTTGTCTGGCCCTGGTGCTTTTCCTGGCTTTTGTCTGTGTCATAGATCTTGCACTTCTTTTTCTGTGATCACCAGAGGTTATGAGCCCAATGGATTGGGGCCAGTTGTAGGAGGCTTGGCTGTTGTTGGTGTGTTTGAGATGCGGGTTGTGGAGATAGGTGGCTGTAGTTTCTTTTCAAACCTGCAGTAAAACACATTCAGGTCATCTGCTAGTTGTTGATTTCCTTCTGCCTGGGAAGGAAGTTTGCTGTAGCCAGTAATGTTTTTAGAGTTTTCCACACGTTTGCTGGTTCATTTGTTGAGAATTGATTCCTTAACTTTTCAGAGTAGCTTCTTTTTGCTGCTCTGATCTCTCTTGTTAATATGTTTCTGGCCTGGTTGTATAGCATTCTGTCACCTTTTCTGTAGGCTTCCTCTTTGGAACGACGTAGCTGCTTAAGTTTAGCTGTGAACCAAGGTTTATTGTTACTATATATTTGCACGTTCCTTGTTGGTACACAATTGTTGGTACTTGTTTATGTTCTCTAATCAAGTATTACCAATTGCATTATAGTTTATAGAGGTTCAAAGAAAAACTTTGACAGTGCATTATGTGAACTTGGAGATGTGTTAATTCAGGTTTAGTGTTCCAGGAATCCCTGCTATTGAATCATTGTGGGAAAATGCTGTAGAAAGAGACAATTATTAGTGTAAAAGGAAACATAATTAAAAGCAATGCACAATAAGACTCTCTTTGAGAGTTAAGGTTTTTTAGCATCATTTGTAGGTAGTTCTCAACTTACTACCATTGTTTAGTAACTATTTGACTGACTTCTTGGAGCTATTTTTGACCAGGATTCAAAGTTCTGAGGACTGTCCCTCCTCCCCAGAAATCACATTATTTTGGGTACTCAGCAATTGCCCTGCATAGATGGCCATTTGCATTGCCCTGTAGTCACATGACCACAATTTATGACTTTTTTTACTGGAAACCGGCATTTACTTTTTAATTTCTGACCAAAAAAAGCTCATTGCAGAAGTGAATTAGTTTAACAACTAGCGTTCCCTTAATGACTTCAGTGTTTACTTTATGACTGCTGTGAAAATGGTCACTTATGACCCACTTAAGGACCGGCCTGACTTACTACTGTAATTTTGGGCTCAATTACGGTCATAGTCAAAGATTACCTGTACTGTAAAGTACACAGGTATAAAACATGAATAGCTGACAATTAAACTTTTGGAAGGTACTCAAAAGCATCTATTGGAGCAAGGGGAAAAAAGAATTCAAGACATAGCAGTGCTGTTGCATTGTAAGGCTCATCTGTTTGGGCTACTCCATATCAAAAATGAGATTGTAAACTGGGGGGAAAAAATCCAGAACCGACAACTAACAAGTTAAGTCTTCCCTAATCTGCCATTCTGATGTGTGGTGGGTGAAATGTTAAGGATGAAAACCTGTGGAAAATGTGACACTGCCAAATATCCCCACAGCATTTCCAAAACAAAACAACCTTTGGTGTAAACCTGAGTTAGAATCAGGGAAATTGTGTAGCATTCATAGCTAGAATAATTATTGTGCATGTGGTTGAAGATTTCCTTTTTTGTCTTCTCTCTTAGTTGATGAAAGCTTGGAGTGGTCACGTCACTGCAGTTTGTTCTCAGGATGCCAGCGAATTGGTGAAACGTCTTGGAGCAGATGACATAATTGATTATAAATCGGGAAATATGGAAGAGCAGCTCAAAAAATTACCCATGTATGTACTAAACTAATTAAATTGTGTGTTTGGCAGAAGGTTTCCAAATGGCGAGGTGGCTATTCACTTTTTGGTACCTTGCAAATCAACATGGCTATTTTTCACAAGCTAGAAATTTATTTTCAGATGGCCCCTATCTCTAAGACACGAGAGGACAACCTGCGGATTTCAACTCCCAGAATTCCTAAGCCGGCCATGGTGGCTCAAGAATACTGAGGGTTGAAGTCCACAGTTCATAAAATCGCCATCGTTTCCCATCCTTGCTCAAAAACAATTATTTCCTGACCTCTTTTAAATATCTTATAGGAATTACATTTATTTCTAGGATGGTTTGTGAAAGTACATGTCATGTTGAGCTGCTCACTTTTTGAACATTAATTGGTGCGTGCGTTTTTCTTTTTAGGTTTGATTTCATCCTAGATAACGTTGGTGGATCTACTGAAAACTGGGCTCCTAATCTTCTCAGAAAGTGGTCAGGGGCCAGATATGTGTCTTTGGTCACACCCTTTTTAGTCAACATGGACAGACTTGGCGTAGCTGATGGCATGCTACGGACTGGCATCACTATTGGTGCAAAAGTTTTGAAGGTCGGTTATGGGGGAAAAAAAAGGTTTTGTTTTGTTTTGTTTTTTTCCCTTTGCTTATGTAGGTGACAAGCTCACTAAAATGTTTGTGGAAGGTTATGCAGTTTTGCTTACTTTTTGGTGCTTAGATTTCTTTCTTTCTTTTGCAGCATCTTTATAACGGGATCCATTACCGATGGTCATTTTTTGCATCAAATGGTCCTCATCTGGATGAGATTGCAACTCTTGTTAATGCAGGGAAGGTATGTCTAACCTGGCTATTTCATTTTTTGCTATTGGATGAACCCATGATATTTTTGGTTCAAGCCTTTCTGCTAATTTTAGCAGGAAAGCAACTCGCCACCAGGTGCCACTTTCTGCTGAATATTCCTAGTGGTGGGAGGGTTGTTTTATTTTCCATGGTGTACTATCACAGCTTACCAGAAAAGATGTCATTTGCAGAATGTGGTTCTCTAGCTTTTTAGTTCTCTTGGGCTTGACCCCTTCACCTTGATGTCAGGAAGAGTTCAAGAGCATTAATGCATGCAAACTGGATAAAATAAAATACATTGGGAACATCAGGCCTTCATTTATGTAGGCTTTGGTTTTTAATTTTATCCAAGGTTAGGGGTTATTTTTTTGCGGGGTGGGGAGATATTCTTCTCTTCTCCTTTATTATTGAATACTTCAGAAAAAAAAGTATTGAATTAAATGAAACTATGACAAAAGTAACCCTATTTATTGGAAGAAAAACAGTCATCTTGGTTTTTGGGTCTGGCAGTAGATCAGGTAAAGAAACCAACACATAAAAGTCAGGACAGTTTTTATTGTAACAACTATTTTATCTCCCTCCCTCCCCCTCCCCCTACATCTGTCTACCTACCTACCTACCTGCCTACCCTCTTTCTGTCATATGTATCTGCCTATCTAAAGAAACTCTTAGATATGTTCTCAAGTTATTTTCTTGACTTGGATTCAAGCCCAAATATCTGACTGTTGCCTTGGTAGTAGCTTTTTCTCTTGTAGTGGTATAAGATACCTCCCCATAACATGTGAGCTGCTTTAATTGCCAATGCTATAAGATTCCCCCCCCCCCACTTTACATGAGAACTTCTTAAAGTGCTCTGTTAAGAAAATATTTACAACAAGCTTCATTGACTGAGTGGTGATGGGAGGGAGGGGGGGAAACCAGATGGAAACAACTGACTCAATAAACCCATACTTTAAAGATATTAGCATATTGACCTAGTAACAGTTGATAATGAAAAAGTCACCCAGATGGGTTTATCTAGCACATTCCAATGCCATGCTGTAATTTACACTGTGTCTGCCTTTTCCTTTTCCTTTTCCTTTCCCCTTTTTTTTGTCTTTGAAACTAGTGGACCTATATAAACTCAGATTCTGCTTTTGTTCGGCAAACTGCCAATGCTTTGCTGGGAGCTTGGTGTACACTGCAGCTGTTTGCATGCTTAACAAATTTGTATTGTATGTTCAAAGTGATTTCAAAGTCATAACACTCTTGTATTTCAATGCTATTCTCTATGCCCTTTACGTCCCCCCTGCTAACTCTTTAGTTTTGATAATTCCTGTTAATCAGCTTGTGTGATAAGAATAGAACTATAGTGCACATACTATATTTCACAATACTTTGCATATATTATCTAGCTGAGGTCCTAAGAATGACCTTATAAAATTAGTGCCTACTCTTATTTCCCAAATGCAAGTTAGGCTGAATGTTTAGTAAAGGTGTCGTAGTGTGATCATTGTACAGGTAAATTCTCAATAAGCGATTCATTTGCTATTGCTGTGAATTGTATAATGCATCTTCAAGGTTGTTTCGTGTCATGTATAAACTTGCAGATCTAACAACTTTTCCTGTAACAAACTGAAAAAAGAACCCCAATAGATTCTTATTATTTATAGAATGACATACTTCACTGGACCTAAGTAGGACTTTTCAAGCAAAACCAGCAAACTGTACATGTCTGGGTGAGAATGAGGAAATATTACAGATAGAATTTGGCCAAATGGCCATGTCACATTTATTTTTTGTGGTTGGGAAGATCTTGTCATTGCCCTTGAACGAGAGAATAGTGTGGCTTTAAGCCATCCATTTGCGCAAGACCAGAGCAGGTGAATGTTCTTTACTATTAAAAGTGTGGTTGGAATGTTTGTGGATGGCTAATTTTCTTTTGTCATAAGAATAACAAAGATTAAAAGTGTTTGCTTCATCTTTTGTTTGCTGTTTTCACAAAGGACAGCGTTTAATGTTGTACAAATGTCATACTTTCTTATCTGCAGAATGATCTTTTATTTGTTTATTTATATATATACTTATTTGGATAGGTGGGTAATCTTTCTTTGGAATCCATTGGCTGTTAGTACGTTAGTGAGAGTGTGTAGTTCGGTTTTTAGGTGTTGTTCGTCAGCTAAGCATTTTGTTCTGGAGATGAGTGTCTTCTGGAGATGAGTGTCTTCTTTTCATCCAAAAAGAAACCCCAACCAAAATCCACAGAGAACAAGGGAACGGCAAAGCCCTCCTCCCATATATAAAATGCACTACAGACAAAATCAGCAAGATCCTCCAAAAACACAACATTAAAACAGCATTCTGCACAAACAGAAAAATATCCACCATCCTAAGAAACCCTAAAGACAAAATCGAGTTAGAAAACCAAGGAGTATACGAAATCCCATGCACCGCCTGTCCCACTACATACATCGGACAAACTAACAGAAGAATAAGTGCACGCATTGAAGAACACAAGAACTCAATCAAAAAAGAAGAACCGACCTCTTCCCTGGTCCAACACCTCAAAGCCACAGGACATGAGATTGACTTTAAAAATACCAGAACTATCGCCAAAACTGAACACTTCAACAACAGAATAATCAGAGAAGCCATAGAGATAGAAAAACGCCCACACAGCATGAATAAACGAGATGATACCTCCCGCCTACCAGCCATTTGGAAACCCACCCTCATTAACAAACGAGTACCTAACATGAAGAATGACAGCAGACCCACACCCACGAGGGCCACACAAGATGCTACCACCACACTTCCACGTAGAAAGCAGACTCACACCCACACAGAAGATGAGACACGACCACGGACCAGAAGCCGTACCGCAGCTGCATCACTACCCGCTTCAAACCCCTCCGACCCATACATGAAGCGAACTGATGCCACCATGAAGATGTGGCACGACCACGAACGCAAAGCCAAACAACAGGATCACAGCTCACCAGCTCAAATCCCCCGGCAACTAAGACTAACCTGAGCACAACCAAGCCCCCACCTGAACAGAACATACCCCCAGCCAATCAGAACACAGCCAATCCCCCCAACCAATCAGAACACAGCCAAACCCCCTACCAATGAGAACACACTCCCACCCAATCAGAACACAGCCAAGCCCTCACCCAATCAAGTCACACCCCCACTAGCAGTTAAAAGGAAGAAGCAGCTGCAAGCTCACATGACTCCGAGAAGCATAAAGCCGAAGACACAAGCCTGAAGATGATGAATGAGACTTCATCGAAACGTCGCCTAGATACTTCCAATTTTACGCAGGAGAAAACCCGAATAACCAAAGATCCACATACAAATACCCGCAAAAACCTCAGAAAACATATACTTATTTATATATATTTATATAATACTTATAGAGTAAATATTTATTTATTTAGTGTATGGTATATCATACATGGTCTAGCAATATATGTTAAGATTTCACCTAGATTAGCAAAACACAATAAAATATAAATGTTAAAAAAGACCTATTCTCAAATACCAATGTCTAGGCCATCTAATCATTATAGAGTAAATAGTATCATATTTGCTTGTTGAGAATGTAATTGTGATGTGCTTTTTAACATTTTTGCCATAAGCTAAATAAATAAATATTTGATTGTTGTTCATTCAATGAATTTCTATAGTCACCCAGCTCAACCAAATGTAAGTCTGGGTGACTTACAATTCTAAAATTATAAACATTTAAAACAGATTAACCATAATAAAACAGTAAAAACATCCCCAAAAATGAATAAAAGCAGCACCTAAGATAATTAATCAACTAATATAGTATTGTATAATAAAGCCATACTATAAATCAATGGTCAACTTTCAAAATTTAGTTATACAATATGTATTCTTATTTCTGTTTTGGTATGTTGATGAAGTTGAACTCGAGGAACTCCAAATTAAATAGGGAAGCCTGAGAATTTTTCCTTGAGATGCAGCATACATGCATCCTGATTGTCCTTGGGAATTGTTTGGAGGAAACATGTAACAAGGCTTTTTTGTGGCAGCATCTGATTACAGAATTTTCGCACCAATGTGGTGAGATCCTTGAATGTTTAAAAGGCAGCAAAAGTAAGTTGAATAGTTAGGGCTGAAAAGGAGCATATATCTTAACATAAATATGTGTTATGAAAAAATGTCACAAATAAATGGATAGACTATTGTTATAAAAACATAAAGGTTTTGAAATCGATTGAAGTTTGTGCCTAAGTATTTGGTGCATCATGTTCTCAATGTTTTGGATGAGAAAGTGTAGTTTAATTTTATGTGGCTGTCTTTGCTGTGTTCTATGTGTTTTCTCTGTTATTTGTTCAAAAGACCAGCCATTGCTCTGAGGGACAACCTTAAAAGTATATCCTCCAGTTTTTTTCCATTAGGGAAGCTGCAGTGTGACACTGGCTCCCTCAAGAGGGAGAAGGGAATAAGAAAGCCAAAGATCCAGGATGAAACCAGAGTTCCCACTAGAATGGGGTTGTTTATACACTGTTATATTTTAAAGAATAGTTTTATGATTCCTTCTGAGGCAAAACTTAACCAAATGTTGATTTGCAGGGCAACCAAGGATAGCAACACCAGGTAAAAGGAGGTGGCTTTTGAAGTCAGTAATTTCCTCAGTAATTTGAGTTTCATTACTATCATAAGTCATTAAAGGATGCTTTTATACATATTGTCTGGGCAACTGACTTTCCCATCCAAACGCACAGTGCATTTTTTTATTTATTATGTGCCACTAAGACCACATACATAGATTTTCTTCATAGCAATCTGTACCTAACCTAGTATTTCAGGCATTCCAATGCTATAAACCCAGGGCCACTAATGTATAACTGAGTTCATTCATCTTGCTGCTGGTAATTCTCTTCTTTTCATCTTTGGCCAACATTAGACCCTTCTCCAGAAAGCCATGCCTTTGCATAATGTGCTTGAAGTAGGAAAATTAGATGCCTTCTCTTTAGGCAGTTTCCATGGCTTATTCTGATATCCAGTTTGTTTTCTACTTCTTCGTCTTTGTATCCTGTTCTTGCATTCATTCTAAAAGACTTCTTTAAGTCCAATCCACAGTTTCTCAAGATTCCCTACCAATGAGATCAGCACTTCTAAGTAATTCCTGATCCTCCCTGAAAATGGCGGGTAATGCTCAAAGTTGTATTGTGGAAACTGGTTGGCTTTTTTCTTCTTCTTTAGCTTGGGGTAGAATTTTTACTTTTAGCCG